TTTAGTACCTGTTTATTTTCGTGACATATAAAGTGGATATGCTGAACTCATTGACAAAATGAGTAGGTTCTTTTGTCAGATTTCATAAAAGTTTAGGAGGCTCAGGGTTTCTGGGAACAGCTTGGTTAATCTAAAATTCTTCCAGAAATTAGACAAGACAGCAGACCTCAGCACTGAGACTGCTTTAAGGGACCCAATAATATAATTGGCAACACCAGAGAACACTTGAATGTTTTTGCTACTCTAGAAGTTTCCTGTATCAGGAGCTTATTAAAGCATAAAAGCTACATTTCAACATAGTTCTTAACCTCTTGAATTTTCTGTTAACTTGCAGTTGTTTGTGTTAAAGTAAGTTGCTATTCAGTATCAACTCAAAGTTTTCTTGAGGTAAAATGGAAAATTCATCTAGATCTTATCCTATATGGGATTTAGGAAATGAATATCTGACTTCATTCATTAAATAAATTTCAAGGGTCTCTTAATAGAATGTATATATTTCTCACATCAAAACTTCAGGCAAATAAGGTGCATTTTAAAAAGCAGCGTTATAAGAGGATGTTGCAGCCTGTTTCCTTTAAAGTACACATTGCGAACTCTTTCACAAGACTAACATTGGCTTTTATTCAACAGATACCTCTTCAATGCATTGACCTCATTTCAGGGCTCAAATCACTTAATTCACTGTTTAACTCTTGAGCACAAATAAGATGTGGTGTATTTTGCATTCCACAGTCTTTCGATCAATAATCCGTGGATGCCCTTTATATTCATTTATGTTTGGGAGATCAGGGAATCATGTATATGAATTTTAATTCTGTTATTTTCAGGACATACATCATTTTTAGATAGATGACAGATCAATTGATTGATAGATAGGTAAGAGTAAGGGGAGGATAGAGAGCTGGAGAGGGAAAGAGGACAAAGAGAAATTGATTCGCTGAAAAAAATTACTCACAAAAAAACTTGGAAAGAGAGTATTAGACATATAGAAGTTCTGATTTTATCCACAGAAAGTGTTAAAAGTGTTTCAGAGAATGAATATATTGTCAGTAAAGTCTTATATCTCATACCCAAGAATAATAAGTTTCCCTAAAATACTGATGCCTAAAATTCTGAATTTTATGGGAAAACAAAGAAAAACTAGAAAGTTAAACAACAGTGTACAGATGAAAAATCCGAAAACATGCCTACTTAAAAATAGGCATCCATATTACATAGACTGACCCTTATGAAACACTGACTGCCTTGTTCTTCTTTTTTATATATATATTAAGAGTTTTTATGTAAATTCCAGTTAATTAACATGCATTGTGGTATTAGTTTCAGGTGTACCGTATACCTATTCAACAATTCCATACATCACCCAGTGTTCATCACTACAAAGTGCACTCTTTAATCTTCACCACCTATTTAACCCGTCACCCCACCCACCTCCCCTCTGGTAATCATCAGTTTGTTCTCTATAGTTAAGACACTGTTTCTTGGTTTTGCTGCTCTTTTCTCCCATGATCATTTGGTTCGGTTTGCTTCTTAAATTCCACATATGAGTGAAATTATATGGTATTTTTATTTTTCTCACTGACTTACTTCTCTTGGTATAATGCACTCTAGCTCCATCTATATTTTCACAAATGGTAAGATTTCATTCTTTTGATGTAATATTCCATTGTATATAAATACCACTTTTATTTATCCATTTGTCAGCTGATGAACATTTGGGCTCTTCCCATAATTTGGATATTGTAGATAATGCGGCTGTAAACATCAGGGTGCATGTTTCCCTTTGAGTATTTTTGTAACCTTTGGGTAAATACCTAGTAGTGTAATTGTTGGATCATAAGTTAGTTCCATTTTTAACTTTTTGAGGAACGTGCATGCTATTTCCCAGAGTGGTTACAGCAGTCTGCATTCCCACCGACAGCGCAAGAGGGTTCCCCTTTCTCCACAACCTCACCGACACCTGTTATTTCCGGTGTTAATTTAGCAATTCTGACAGGTGTGAAGTGATAGCTCATTGTAGTTTTAATTTTTATTTCCCTCATGATGAGTGATGTTGAGCATCTTTTCATGTGTCTGTTGGTCATCTGGATGTCTTCTTTGAAAAAAATATTTATTCATGTCTTCTGTGCATTTTTTAACTGGATTATTTTTGTGGGTGTTGAATTGTGTAAGTTAATTATATATTTTGGATACTAACCCTTTATAAGATATGTCATTTGCAAAGATCTTGTTCCATTCTGAAGGTTGCCTTTTAGTTTTTTTGATTGTTTCCTTCACTGTGCAAAAGCTGTTTATCTTAAGTTTCAATAGTTTATTTTTGCTTTTGTTTCCCTTGCATCAGAAGACATGTCTAGTAAGTTTTTATGGCTAATGTCAAAGAGGTTATTGCCTGTGTTCTCTTGTATGGTTTTAATGGTTTCCTGTCACACATTTAGTTCTTTAATCCATTTCAAATCTATTTTTACGTATGGTGTAAGACAGTGGTCCAGTTTCATTCTTTTGTATGTTGCTGTCCAATTTTCCTAACACCATTTGAAAGACTGTCTTTTTCCCATTGGATATTCTTTCCTGATTTGTCAAAGACTAATTGGTCATATAGTTCTGGATCCATTTCCACATTTTCTATTCTGTTCCATTTATCTATTTTTGTGCCAATACCATACTGTCTCGATGACTACAAATTTGTAATATAACTGGAAGTCCAGAATTGTGATGCCTCCAGCTTTACTTTTCTTTTTCAAGATTGTTTTAGCTATTTTTTTTGTGGTTCCTTAAAATTTTTAAACTATTTATTCTAGCTCTGTGGAAATGCTGTTGAGGGAAACTTGCTGGCTCAGTCAGTGGAACATGAGACTTCATCTCAGTATTGTTGGTTCAGGCCCCACGTTGAATTTAGAAACTACTTAAGAATAAAATCTTAAAAAAAAAAATACATGCTGTTGGTATTTTGAAAGGGATTTAAAAAAAATATGTCGATTGCTTTGGGTAGTATACACATTTTAACAATATTTGTTTTTCTAATCCATGAGCATGGGATGTTTTTCCATCCCTTTGTATCATCTTCAATTTCTTTCAAAGGTGTTTTATAGTTTTTGGAGTACAGATCCTTAACTTGTTTGGTTAGATTTATTGCTAGTATCTTATGTTTTTATTTTTGTTGCGTGTGTGTGTGTGTGTGTGTGTGTGTGTGTGTGTGTGTGTGTAATTGTAAATGAGATTGATTCCTTGATTTCTCTTTCTGCCACTTCATTATTGGTATATAGAACTGCAACAGATGTCTATCTGTTGATTTTGTATCCTGCTACTTTACTGAATTCATGTATCACTTCTAGCAATTTTTTGGTGGAGTCTTTCAGGTTTTCTATATAGAACATCGTGTCATCTGGAGATAGTGTAAGTTTCACTTCTTCCTTGCCAATTTGGATATATTTTACTTCTTTATGTTGTCTGTCGTGGTTAGGACTTCCAATACTATGTTAAATAACAGTGGTGAGAACTGATACAGTCTTGTTCCTGACCATAAGGCAAAAAAACCCTCATTTCTTCCCATTGAGGATATTAGCTGTGGGTTTTTCATATATGCTTTCATATGCTGTAGTTATGTTCCCCTCTAAACTTACTTATTGAGGGTTTTTATCATGAATGGACGTTGTACTTTGTCAAATACTTTTTCTGCATCTATTGAAATGACCACTTCATTGTTATCCCTCTTTTATTAATGTGGTATATCACATTGATTGATTTATAAATATTGAACTACATTTGCATCACAGGAATAAATCCTATGTGATTGTGGTGAATGATTCTTTTAATGTATTTTTGGATTCAGTCTGCTGGTATTTTATTGAGAACTTCTGCATCCATGTTCATCAGAGAGATTGACCTATAGTCCTTTTAGTGGAGTCTTTTATCTGCTTTTGGTTTCAGGGTAATGCTGGCCTCATAGAATGAATCTGGAAGTTTTCTTTCCTTTTCTATTTTCTGGAATAGTTTGAGAAGAGTGGGCATTAAATCTTCTTTAAATGTTTGGTAGAATTCACCTGTGAAGCCATCTGGCCCTGGACTTAGGTTTATTGTGAAATTTTTGTTTACTGATTCAATTTCTTTGCTGGTTATCAGTCTGTTCAAGTTTTCTATTTCTTCCTGTTTCAGTGTTGGTAGTTTATATGTTTCTAGGAATGTGTTGATTCCTTCTAGGTTGTCCAATTTGTTGGCACATAGTTTTGTTTTTTTTTTTTCTAATATTCTAATTGTATTTCTAGTTTTATAATACTCTAATTGGTTGTTATTTCTCCTCTCTCATTTGTGATTTTATTTATTTGGGTCCTTTCTCTTTCTTTTTGGTAAATCCGGGTAGGGATTTATCAATTTTATTGAATTTTTTAAAGAACCCGCTCCTGGTTTCATTGATCTATTCTGTTGATTTTTTAAAGTTTCTGTATCATTTATTTCTGCTTTAATCTTTCCTATTTCCTTCCTTCTGCTGGCTGTAAGCTTTGTTGTTCTTTTTCTAGCTCCATTAGGTGTAAGTTTAGGTTGTTTATTTGAGATTTTTCTTGCTTCTTGAGGTAGCCCTGTATGGCTATATACTTCCCTCTTAGGACCTCTTTTGCTGCATCTCAAAGGTTATAAACAACTGTTTTTTTTTTTTCATTTTCATTTATTGCCATGTATTTTTTAAAAATTTCTTCTTTGATTTCCTGGTTTACCCATTCATTGTTTAGTAGCATGTTGTTTACACTCCATATTTATAGTCTTTCTAGATGTTTTCTTATGGTTGACTTCAAGTTACATAGAGTTATGATCAGAAAATATTCATAGTATGATCCTAATCTTTTTGTACTTGTTGAGACCTGTTTTGTGACCAAGTATGTGATCTTGCTTGTTTTTCATTACTTTTGGGGATTCTGATCCTTTTTTGCCTTTGTCACTTTTGATTTCCCCTTTGCACTCAGGAGGTCTCCTTTAATATTTCTTGTAGGATTAGTTTAGTGCTCACAAACTCCTTCAGTTTTTGTATGTCTGGGAAACTCTATCTTTCCTTCTACTCTGAATGAAGGCCCTGCTGGATAGAATATCCTTGGCTGCAGATTTTTCCCTTTCAGCACTTTGTACATATGGTACCACTGCCTTCTGACTTGCCAAATTACTATTGAGAACTTTCTGGCTAGTTTTATGGGTTTTCCCTTTTAAGTTAAGGACTCCTTTTGTCTTGCTGCTTTTAAATTTTTATCACTACATTTTTGCAGACTTAATTACAATACGTTTTGGTGTTGACCTGCTTTTTTTGTTTTTTTAATGTTTATTTATGGAAGAGAGAAAGAGAGCAAGTGGGGGAACAGCAGAGATAGATGGGGACAGAGGATCCAAAGCAGGCTTTGCACCGACAACAGAGTGTCCAATGCAGGGCTTGACTGAAAAGTGCAAGATCATGCATGATCTGAGCCGAAGTCAGCAACTCAGGTACCCTGCTGCTTTTCTTGATTTTGATGGACATCCTCTGTGCTTCCTGGATCTGGATATCCATTTCCTTCCAGTTTTCTATTACTTCTTGAAACAAATTTTCTGCCCTCTTTTCTCTCTCTTCCTCTTCTTGGACTCCTATAATATGAATGTTATTATGCTTGGTGGATCACTGAGTTCCTGAGGTCTATTATTTTGTGTTGCATAATTCTCTCTTTTGTTCAGCTTTACTGTTTTCCATTTTTTTGTGTTCTAGGTCAGTAATTCATTCCTCTGCTTCTCCCAGCCTGCAGTTCATTCAATCAAGGCTGTTTCAAATCTCAGTTATTGCATTTTTCATTTCTGACTATTTTTTAGCTTTTATCTTAGTTGACCATATATGTGTAGTCCTGTTTCTAAACACTTTCTTCTATGAGTCAACATGTTTATGTTACTGCCAATACTAACTTGATTACTGTAGCTGTATCCTGTTTTGGAATCGGGTTATGTAATTTCTCCAAATTTGTTGTTCTTTATCAAAATTCCATTGGCTATTTTATATAATATTTCATTTCCAAATACATTTTAAAACTGTCAATTTTTATGACAATGTTACTGGATTTTGATTGAGATTGCATTGGTTCTATAGATCAGTCTAATAAAAATTTGTATCTCTTCTATATGGTATCTTCTGATCATGAACATAGCCTCCTTTTCTTGATTTAGTCTTCTGTCACTCTTTTCCATGTTTTGAAGCATACCTATTTTATATATCCTTTGTTCAAAAAAATCACGATTTAGGAGTACCTGGGTGGCTCAGTCAGTTAAGTGTTTGACTTCAGCTAAGGTCATGTTCTCTCGGTTCATGGGTTTGAGCCCTGCGTTGGGCTCTTTGATGACAGCTCAGAGCCTAGAGTCAGCTTTGGATTCTGTGTCTCCCTCTCTCTCTGCCCTTCCCCTGCTTGCGCTCTGTCTGTCTCTCTCTCTCAAAAATAAAAACATTAAAAAAATTAAAAAATCACTATTTAATTTTGATACTATTACAAATGTATTTAAAAATTTAAATTTCTAATTGTTTACTGCTAGCATGTAGAAATGCAACTGACTTTTATATAACTATTGTTTTCTGTGATCGTATTCCTCTCACAATTTAGTTCTATAGCTCTTTTTGTAGATTCCTTGAGACTCTTTACAAAGGTGATCATGTACTGTAAAAATAGTCAGTAGTGTTCCTTGCTTTCTGGGGTATATGTTATTTGCTTTCCTTATTTCACTGATGTTGATCTCTTGCATAATATTTAATAGCAATTTTTAAGGTAAGCATACATATATTTTTGTAATGTGAGAAAGAAAGCATCTAGTCCTTCACCATGATGTAGGATATTAGGTATTGGATGTGCTCCTTTCATTAGACTGAGGAAGTTTACTTCTATACTTACTTTAGTGAGATGTTTTATAATCAATATACTGAATTTCACTAAATGCTTTTTTTCCCTGCATCTGTGAAATGATTCTAAGACCTTTTTTTTTCTGCTTTAGTCTTTTTAAGTGGTGAATTATGTTGATAAATTATTGAATGTTAAGCCCACCTTGAATTGCTGAAATGAACCCTTCTTGGTAATGATGTATTACAATTTTTGTAAGTTTTTGGAATTGATTTGTCATAGTGCTATATTGCTGGATTCACTTACCAAATTTTATTTAATTATACTTTAGTGTTTACTGACCTTGCTAAAATGGTTTAAAAATAGGGACAAGGAGACAGGGAGAGAAGATTATGGCAGAGTTCATAGTCCACAAAAGCATGTAACTAAAAAAGATAAAAAAATAATAATAAACAAGTTTTGACTCCTTCAAAATTGTAAGTTTTTCTCTTCAAAAATACCATCAGAAAAATAAAAATTCAAGACATGAACTTGTAGCAAATATTTGCATTCAGAATACATGAACACTTTACCTCTCAAAAATAAGAATACAGACAACCCAATTTAAATAGGCAAAAGACTTAAATAGACCATTTATTAAAGAAGAAGATTTAAAGATGCTAATGATCATTAGTCATTATAGAAATGCAAACTAAAATTCCAATGAAATGCCACTACATACCCAGTGTCAATAAGGTATTAATAATCATTTTAACAAATCGCCTAAAATGTTGACTATTGATATTTTAAAGGAATCTAAAGCTTTACACCATATATAAAAATTAACATGGGATTGATCACAGACCTAAAAGTGATTAAATTATAAAATGTCTAAAAGAAATCATAAAAGAGTCTGTGTACACTTGAGTTAGGAACAGTGTTCATTGGCTACAAAAGTATACATTAAAAAAGGAAAAAAATTTGGCTCCATCAAAATGTTAAGCTTTTTGTCTTCAAAAATACTCTCAAGTAAATGAAAATACAAGACATAAGCTTGTGGCAAATATTTGGGAAACATTTATCTTATAAAAGATTTGCATTCAAAATACATGAAGAGTTTATAACTCAAAAATAAGAATACAGACAACCCAATTTAAACAGGCAAAGGTCTTAAATAGACCCTTCATTAGAGAAGCACATTTAAAGATGCTAATGATCATGAGTCATTAGGGAAATGCAAATTAAAACTCCAAAGAGATGCTGATACCCATTGGAATGACTTTAATGACTGATGATATCAAGTGTTGACAAGATCCTAGAGTCAACACAACACTGAAATATTGCTGATGGAAATGCAAAAGAGTGTGAATACGCTGGAAAACAGTTTGGCAGTTTCTGATAAAGTTAACATACGCTTACAATATAATGCAACAATTCCAACCCTAAATGTTTACTCATGATAAATAAAAACATGTGCTTATTCAAAGATATGTAGTTGAAATTTCATAGCAACTTTACTCATTGTAACTCACACCTGAAAACAACCCAATGTCTATCAACTGGTGAATGAATAAATGAAATGAAATACTGTTTCATACAGTAAAACATTGCTTAGCAATGTAAAGGAACAATCCAGTAACAGATGTGAAAATATGGATGAATTTCAAGAACATGAGACTAAATGGAAGAACACAAAATTTCATGTTGTATGATTCTTTTTATGTGACAGTCCAGAAAGGCAAACGTATAGCAATAGAAAATAATCAGTGTTTGCTAGAAGCAGGGGTTACTAGAAAGGTACTGAGTGCAAAAAAAGTACAAAGGAACAATTTTGAGGATGAAAATATTCTATGTCATAATTGTGATGACAGTAAACACAGTACTATATAAAATTATAAAAACCCATCAAAGTGTAAAATTAAATGGTTAAATTTTAGTCTATCTAAATTATACTACAATATGGGGCGCCTGGGTGGCGCAGTCGGTTAAGCGTCCGACTTCAGCCAGGTCACGATCTCGCGGTCCATGAGTTCGAGCCCCGCGTCAGGCTCTGGGCTGATGGCTCAGAGCCTGGAGCCTGTTTCCGATTCTGTGTCTCCCTTTCTCTCTGCCCCTTCCCCGTTAATGCTCTGTCTCTCTCTGTCCCAAAAATAAATAAACGTTGAAAAAAAAATTAAAAAAAAAAATAAATAAATGAATAAATAAATAAATAAATAAATAATACCACAATAAAACAGGGGGAAAAAAAGAATGTTAGAAAACAATGGTTAGATAATGTCCCCCTCTCCCCAAAAAAGTAGGAAAAAAAATCTACAAAAAAAATTTTTACTTTAAATAAACAACTTTGTTAAACACTTACTGTATTAGCCTTTTTAAAAAAGTTAATCTATTACAAAAACCAATGCATTTCTGGGAAAACCAATTTAACATCCTTTTTTTATTAATGCCTTTTGAATTGCATGCTCCACTCAGGGACATTGGCTCCCTAGATTCTCTTTGGAGCTCTGAGACCACTCATCCTAAGAAGTACCTGCACCTTATAAACTCTAGTCTCCTCAAGTCAGGGTTTCTTTTTTTTTTTTTTTTTT